GTATTTAAGAAAATAAGCACTTTCATAATAAAACTGAGCAAAGTAGAAATTGAAGAGAACTTTTTCAACCTGATAAAGGGCATTTATAAAAAATTTAAAGATGGCATCCTGCTACAGATCAAATACAGAATGCTGTCCCTTTCTGATCAGAAACAAGGCAAGGCTATATTTTCTTATCTCTTCTGTTCAACATTTTACTGAAGATTCTAATAGCAGTACAAGTGGGGAGAATAAAAAGATTGGAAAGGAAGAAGTAAATCTTGGAAAGGAAGAAGTAAATCTGACCTTATTCACAGATATCAACAAGAAAAGTAAAGCTGCTAGAACCAAAAGCGAATTTAGGAAGTTCTCAATCTAGAATGTCAATTTGGAGAAATCAGTTGTATTTCCACATGCTAGTAGCAAATAGTTGGAAAATGAAATTAAAATCCGTTCTCCATCGTGGATCACTACATCAAAAACCAATGGTGTATGGTATGGTGACTAACATAACATAATAAAATTTTAAAAATTAAAAAATAAATAAATAAAATCAGTTCTCCTCTAGATGGTATCAAATAACATAAAGTAAGTAGAAATAAATTTAACAGAAGCATTCACCAGAAACTTCAGACATTGCCAATAGAAATTCAAGGAAACTTAAATAAATGGAGGAATATACCATGTTAATGGTTAAAAGATTCAGTAGTTAAGATGTCATTTCTTCCCAAATTGGTCTAAAGATTTAACTTCCCAAGCAAAATCCCAGCAGGCTTTTTTTGTAGAAATTAACAAACTGATTTTTAAGTGTATATGTAAAAACAGGGGACCTAGAACACTCAAATCAATCTTGAGAAAAAGAACAAATTTGGATAACTCACACTACCCGACTTTAAGACTTACCACAAAGCTACGGTGATAGTGACGCTGTGATATTGATCTAAGGATGGGTAAATAGATCAGTGGAAGATAATAAAGAATCCATACATGGTTGCTTAATTCTCAATAAAGTCACCCAACTCAGTTCATAGGAAAAGAAAAATCTTTTCAATAAATGACACTAGAACAATTGGATATGTATATGAAAAAAAAATTAGTTATAACCCCTGCCTCAAAGCATATATAGGCATAACTTGGAGATACCACGGGTTTCGTTCCAGACCACCACAATAAAGCGAGTCGAATGAATTTTTTGGTTTCCTAGTGCATATAAAAGTTATGTTTATACTATACCATAGTCTGTTAAGTATGCAGTATCATTATGTCTGAAAAACCAGTGCACATACTTTAATTAAAAAATACTTTATTGCTAAAAAATGGCTAACCATCACCTGAGCTTTCAGTGAGTGGTAATCTTTTTTAGGGTCGTGTGTCAATGTTTATGGTTAGTGATTGATCAGGGTGGTAGTTGCTGGAAGTTGGGGTAATTGTGGCAATTTCTTAAGACAGTGGAGTTTGCCTCATTGATTGAATCTTCCTTTCACAAATGATTTCTCTCTAGCATGTGATGCTGTCTGATAGCATTTTACCCACAGTAGAACTTCTTTCAAAATTGGAGTCAATCCTCTCAAACCCTGCTGACTCCTTTATCAGTTAAGTTTATGTAATATTCTAAATCCTTTGTTGTCATTTCAACAATCTTCTCCAGGAGTGGATTCCATTTCAAGAAACCACTTTCTGTGCTCATTCATAAGAAGTAATTCTTAATCCATTAAAGTTTTATCATGAGATTGCAGCAGTTCAAATATAAAAATAATGAAAAAGCTTGAAATATTACAAGAATTACCAAATGTGACACAGAGACACAAAGTGAACAAATGCTGCTGGGAAAATGATTCCAAGAGCATTGGTCAATACAGGATTGACACAAATCTTCAATTTTAAAAAATGCAGTATCTACAAAGTGCAATAAAGCAAGGTGTGTCTATAAAAATGTATTTGAGATGGTTTATAGGTCTAAACATAAAAACTAAAACCATTAAGTTTCTGGGAAAAAAACATAAGAGAATATACTCAGGATCTAGGATATTCAGAGTTTCTTAAGGCACTAAGCTATAACCACAAAAGAAAAAAATTAAGTTAGTCTTCATCCAAATCAAAACTTTTGTTCATTCAGAGACCCGTTAAGAAAATGAATATGCGGGCACCTGGGTGGCTCAGTCGTTAAGCGTCTGCCTTCGGCTCAGGTCATGATCCCAGGGTCCTGGGATCGAGTCCCGCATCAGGCTCCCTGCTCAGCAGGAAGCCTGCTTCTCCCTCTCTCACTCCGAGCTTGTGTTCCCTCTCTCACTGTGTCTCTCTCTGTCAAATAAATAAAATCTTTAAAAAAAAAAAAAAAGAAAGAAAGAAAGAAAATGAATATGCAAGGAGCTCCTGGGTGGCTCAGTCGTTAAAGTCGTTAAGCGTCTGCTTTCGGCTCAGGTCATGACCCCAGGGTCCTGGGATTGAGCCCTGCATCGTGCTCCCTGCTCAGCAGGAAGCCTGCTTCTCCCTCTCCAACTCCCCCTGCCTGTGTTCCCTCTCTTGCTGTGTCTCTCTCAAATAAATAAATAAGATCTTAAAAAAAAAGAAAAGAAAAGAAAATGAGTAGGCAAACTATAAGATGGGAGAAGATATTTTCCAAGCAGGTATCTGACAAAGGACTTGTATCCAGAATATATAAAGAACTCAACAACTTAATAATTTAAAATTAAGAAGGACTTAATTGTTCCCTTCCTAGGAATTCATCTGAGAGAAATATTAAAATATGTCCACAAAAAAACAAGAGAATTATATAAGAAAGCTTATGGCAGAGATCTGCTGTACAACATAGTGCATATAGTTAAGAGTACAGTGTTGTACACTTAAAAACTTAAGAAGGTACATCACATGCTAAGTGTTCTTACACCAATGGAAAAAGAAAACACACAAATCTTTTGGAGGTGATGGATATGTTTATTACCTTAGTGTATCTCAGATGTATGCATGTGTCCAAACTCATCAAAATGTATACATTAATGTGTGCAATTTTTTGTATATTAAGTATACCTCAGTAAAGCTGAAAAAAAAAGAAAATTTATGGTAGCTTGATTCAACAGTAGTCAAAAACTAGAGACAGTGCAAACATCTGTCAACAAGTGAATGGATAAATAGTGATATATTTATACAGTGCGATACAGCTCAACAATAAATAAGAACAGACTACTTATATGCAAACATGAATGAATCTCAAAACCATTATGCAGAGTAGATGATAGCACAAAAGAATACATACCATTTGATATAATTTATTTGAATTTTTAAACTAAGTGAAACTCATTTAATGGGGAAAAGAAACTAGAACTCTGTTACTCTCTTTGTGAGGATGCAGAGAGAAAGGATTGACTGGGAAGGGACAAAAAGAACTTCCGAGAAAATAGAAATGTTCTATTCCAGGATAGGAGGATGGGTTACTCAGGTATATCCATTTGTCAAAATTGTATGGCTATGATTTGTACATTTAGTGTATATAAATTTTTCCTCAAGAGCTGTAAATAATAACAATTGAGAAGGAACTGGGAATGAGTAGAAGGATAAATAAACCAAGAATGGCAGAGTACTGATAAGTTGAAGCTGAAGATTGTGTGGTTTATTACAGAGTTCTCTTCACTTTGCTATGTTTGAAATTTTCCATCATAAAAATTTTTAAAGGAGACACAGTAAGCAAGGGTAGAAAGGTATTGAACTTGGCATTATATATTTGTCAACTTAAAAAATAAGGATAAAACAAATATAAAACTTTTCAACACTTTTTCCTTAAAATAATTGTGGGGGAGATGTGGAAAAGTTTGAGGGACTAAGAGAACTAGAGATAAACCATTGCCTAAAACAAACATAACAGGGGCAGCCAAACTTGAGATAATTAATTTGGAATTTAGTTGGAGCAATTTTCAAACTATTAATAAAGAAGTAGCCTAGAAGGTTTGTCTCCTAATTCATTTGAATCCAAAGTTTCAGATTTTGTGTACATTTAATATTTTAAAAACTTTTTTTTAATTTGCTTTCCATATGAGGATTGGTACAAATGACCCTGAAAGGTAGGTTTTTAAATGTATTCAGTCTCAGAGCACTATTGACAATTTTATAATTGGCAGAAGTGTAGGTTTTTAAATTATTTTGATGCTTATGGCACCTGGATGGCTCAGTTGGTTAAGTATCCAACTCTTAGTTTCAGTTCAGGTCAGGATCTCAGGGTTGTGAGATCAAGGCCCGTTTGGGGCTCCAGGCTCAGCTCAGAGTCTGCTTGGGATTCTCTGCCTCTCCCCCTGCCCCTCACCCTGCTCCTGCTCTCTTGTGCTCTCTCACTCTCTCAAATAAATAAATAAAATAAAATCTTTTAAAAAATTTATTGTGATGCTTTATAAATGCATAAGGGGAAGAATACCATTTTTATATGGTATAAGTAGCTTTTGAAGAGCTATATACTTGAGGGGCACCTAGGTGACTCAATCAGTTAAGCAGCCAACTCTTGATTTCCACTCAGGTCAGATCTCAGAGTTATGAGATCAAGCCCCAAGTCAGGCTCCACTCGGGGTGTAGAGCCTGCGTAAAGATTATCTCTCTCTCTCTCTCTTTCTAAAAAAAAAAAAATCTCTCTCCCTCTTTCTCTACCCCCCGTTAAAAAAAAAAAAGCTATATACTTGAAAATGTGGCCATAAACTATTGATGATACAAAAAAATTAATTATGAATCAAAATTCTCTTGAAGAGTGAGGATAATCATGAAGTTTTTGTAGAGTAATGTCTTTGGAATATGTGTGTATTAAGTAAACTAGCTTTCTTAGGAGAAAAAAAATGATTCAAATTGTAATAATGTAAGTACTCCTATGATTCTTGTATGATTTAAGAAAAAATAAGTAACAATATTAGCTATAATGCAGAAAATTTAAGTTAATATTTAACAATTAGTATATATTTTATAATGAAAACTTAGCATCTGTTTCTTAGGCTATTTTAAACAGTCCAGTAGTCACACAGCTGAATTCATGTTTGCTATTTTTTTAGCTACAGAAGATCATAAGTAAACAAGATGACTTGAAGACAACAATAGCTAATGAAACAGAATGCCAGGTATGTGCAAATAAACTAAATATTCCCAGACATGATATTTACAGTAGTTTCTCTATTCTGTTTGTCAAATAAATATTCACACATAGTTGGGAAAATTATCAGTAACTTCATTTTTCTAAATATTTTGAATAGATGTGCTACATTCACATGGTCCAGACTTCAAAAGGTTCACAAGGGTATGTGCAGAGGGCAGCATTTTCCTCCCAGTCACCCAGTTCTCCCTGAGCAGTGAGTGCTTTCAGTGTCCTGTATATTCACCCAGAAATACCTCATGTGTATATCTATAAAGAAGTAATTAAATACATCCATGTGTTCTTTTTTCCATTTTTCTGCAAAGAATAGCATAGTGTGTTGTTTCACACTCTCCCATTTTTCCTCAATACATCTGATTCGCTCCTTCTTTTTAACAGCTCCTTCTTTTAGTGCTTTGTTGTATGGATATACTAGTTTATGTAACCATTCTCCTCTTTAAAAACGTTTAATGTGTATCCAGTCTTTTGATAATGCAAATAATGCTGCAGTTAATAATCCTGTAATTATATCATTTCATACATATGTGAATATATCTGAGGGATCACTTCCCAGAAATTTGATTGCTGGGTCAAAAGGTATGATATTTCTAAGGTTGTTGATAAACTTTGACAAGTTTTGGCAAGTATCTCCTATAGAAAATGAACCAGTTTTCATTCTCACTGCTAATGTATATCAGTACATTTTCTGTTGATAATCTTTCAGTCAGTTCTTATTCCACAGTATGCTTTCCATGAGATTTTCTTAAATTTCCAAATTATTTCATCCCTTAGAGCATGTCTGCTTCAAATTTTGCACATTATTAAAATCACAGTTCTTTCTTACATTTCATCCCTTTGAGCAATCCTGTGCTGGACTTCTTTTTCCCATATCTGAGTCCTTGAATGGTATTCCCTTTTTCCAGCTGTATGTGTCCTGTGTGTTCCCATCATACCCTGTATGTCCGCCATCATAACACTTCTCACACATTAGTATAGTTGTGTCCTCCTCTGAACTGTAAGCATCATTCCTCTCTCTACAGTTGTTTGAAGTTAGGGAGCAGTCAACAAGACCACCTACTTTTGATAGCAATTGCAAGTTCACGGGACCCCCAAGACCACCCTTGGGTTCCATTATTCACTGGAAGGACTCAAAAAGTTCACTGAAAGTTGTTAGGTTCATGGGTACAGTTTTCTTAAAGTGAGCAGATACAGATTAAAATCAGCCAAAGGAAAAGACACATGAGGCAGAGGTCCAGAAAGTTCCCCAAGCAGAGGGTCCAGTTGTCCTCTCCCCATTGGGATCATGGATAGCACTAACTCTCCCAACAAGGTGTGTAACAGTACACTTGGAGTAGTACCAGTCAGGGCCCTAATGTCCTGAGATTTTCTTGGGGTCCACTATATAAATTTGGTTGGCTACCCATGTTGCTGGCCCCCATCTCTAGCCATTCTGGAGGTCATTCTGATACCCCATGACCCAAGCCACCACCCTAAACCTCATTGTTATTCTGGTTTGGCCCAAGGCCCCCAAGTAAACAAGACACTTATCGTAGACGTCACCTCCCAGCAGCCCAGGACAAAAGCAGACCTCTATCTGGATACGGTAAATTCTTTACTACGTAAGGTGTATCTACATAGCCTGGGAAAGCAGCAGAACATGCTCTAAATGCTCAGTAAATATTTTTAAATGAATCAATAAATATTTAATCGTATGAATATGACATTTTTATTATTGATCATTAAGATTGTTTCCAAATATTTACTATTAGAATCATGCCCCAGTAAAGAGTTAAGCATGTAAATTTAGGAGAACATTCTAAAGGTGAGATTGTTGGGTCAAAAGGCATGGATACTTTTAAGACTTCTGATTTATAGGGTCAAACTGCCTTCTGGAAAAGTTGTAACAATTTATAGTCCTACCACCATTGAGTAAGCATGTCCCCCTGTGAACAGTCCAGGATTGGTATCTGTTTTTGTTTTGGTTTTTAAGCAGTGCCAATTAGATAGGGGAAAAGGTATCTCAATTATTTTTCAAGATACTTTTTATTTTATAAATTTTCTTTTTTTTTTATTATGTTATGTTCTGTTAGTCACCATACAGTACATCATTAGTTTTTGATATAGTGTTCCATGATTCATTGTTTGCGTATAACACCCAGTGCTCCATGCAAAGTGTGCCCTCCTTAATACCCGTCACCGGGCTAACTCATCCCCCCCCCAAAACCCTCAGTTTGTTTCTCGGAGTCCATAGTCTCTCATGGTTCGTCTCCCCTTCCCCGATTTCTGTTCTTTGGGAATTTCTTTAGGTTTTTCTTCATATTTATTTTTAGGAGTACTTTTAAGAGTAAATTAAGAATAGGGCACCTGGGTGACTCAGTTGGTTAAGCGACTGCCTTCGGCTCAGGTCATGATCCTGGAGTTCTGGGATCGAGTCCCACATCGGGCTCCCTGCTCAGCAGGGAGTCTGCTTCTCCCTCTGACCCTCTTCCCTCTCGTGCTCTGTCTCTCACACTCTCTCTCTCAAATAAATAAATAAAATCTTTAAAAAAAAGTAAATTAAGAATATTAACCTAGTATTTGTCAAATTTATTGAAATATCAGATTTTTTTTGTTTGTGATGTTTTGATTATAGATGTTTTTATTTTTTATGTGGTCATATTTATTTGTCTTTTAATTTTATTTATCTAATAACTTTTCATTTTTTAAAATGTCTTCCCCACATCAAAATTAGTTAGAAATACTAACCTATATTATCCTCTGGTTTAGTTATGCTTTTGGTTTTTTACATTTAATTTTTTCATTCATCTGAAATTTGTTTCTAAAGGGCATCCCTGTGACATTACTTTTTTACTATTATAAGTGGACTCTTTTTCCTCAAGGGAAAAATTAGTGCACAGGAAATCTATTTGATTTTTATTTTTAGCCTGGCTTTCTAGGAGTCATTCCTGTGTCTACACAGTTTTAGTGTCCGGCCAGAGATTATACTAAGACAATGGAGATAATCAGCTATGCCCTCTCTTCCCCCTGCCAATGGGTCTGTGTAAGGGCTGGGAGTACATTCACACTTAGGCTTTTTTTTTTTTTTTTTTTTAAGAACGGGCAGTCCTGAGAAGGCTGCAGTGATCTTTTTTTTTTTAAGATTTTATTTATTCACTTGCGAGAGAGACAGAGAGAGAACAAGCAGGGGGAGAGGCAGAGGCAGAGGGAGAGGGAGAAGCAGACTCCCCGCCGAGCAAGGAGCCCGATGCGGGACTTGATCCCAGGACCCCGGGATCATGACCCGAGCCAAAGGCAGACGCTTAACCATCTGAGCCACCCAGGTGCCCAGTTAGGCTCTTTTTAAGCCTGAAAGTGCACACACCTGTGTCAGCTCTTTGAGCCAAGGACGTGTGGGCAGCTGGAGCTGGTGTGGTCTCTGCTGTATGTGCAGCACAACCTGGGGTACAAGGAGAGCGCAAGTCCTTATGGTTGTCTCAGCTCCTCAGTCTTTCAAGTACTGGCCATCTGCCAGTCCATTGTTTGCTCCAAAGAGGCCTGCAGTCTCAGCTAAAGGAGCCACCAAGATCACCAAGTAAACTCCCTCCATCAGCAACAGGGAAACTGGTTTTGGACAGCCTGACATTCTCTGGTAAAACTCCCACAGGGTAAAGCTGGAAAGGCAAGAAGGCCATAGAGTGTGTGCTGCCCAAAGTTTAGTAGTTAATTTGAAAAACACTTCTCTTTGTTGTATGCCTTTGGTTGGATTCCACAGCACTGAATAGTTGTGTTTTGACCATTTTGTCCAGCTGTTTGCTTTTAGGGGAGAAGCTTTTTTGTCATCTCACTCTATCCTGTGGGAAGTCAGCAGTTATCATATTTTAATTGGCCAATAGGTTTACATTGACTTTAATAAACATAACCATGTTTAAGTAAGTTCCAAAAGCAAACATTTTAGGTAAACCAATATAGTTAATATAGTATAAAATTTTACCCTTTAAAATAAATACCATACTATATACCAAAAGCATGAACTAGAATGTACTTTGATGAGGCTTATATTAATGACACTGAACATTTAATAATTAACTAGTTTTTAAGATACATGAAAAATAAAGGTTAATATTTTAAAGATCTAGGGAATAAAATGTGCAGCATAGGGAATATAGTCAGTGGTATTGTAATAGCGTTGTATGATGACAGATGGGAGCTACATTTGTGAGCATAGCATAACATAGAGATGTTGGATCACTGTTGTACACCTGAAACTAATGTAACATTGTGTGTCAGCTATGCACAAATAGAAAAATTTAAAAACAAAAAAATACTTAAAAGAATCTGGGCGCCTGGGTGGCTCAGTTGGTTAAGCGACTGCCTTCGGCTCAGGTCATGATCCTGGAGTCCCGGGATCGAGTCCCACATCGGGCTCCCTGCTCAGCAGGGAGTCTGCTTCTCCCTCTGACCCTCTTCCCTCCCGTGCTCTCTATCTCTCATTCTCTCTCTCTCAAATAAATAAAATCTTTAAAAAAAAAATAAAATAAAATAAAAGAATCTACATGAAGAAAACTATAAATAATAAAATTTAATTGAGGAACGTAAGAGAAGATTGAAATAAAGACACGCTTTATACTTAGGTAGGAATAGTGATCATTGTAAAGTGGCCAATCTCCGGTAAATTAATCTATGAATTCAATATAGTCTACATCAGAACTCAATACCTGAGCACCTGATTTCGGTTTTGTCTGGTTGGGTTTTGGGATTTGGGGGCAGGGGTTTCTTCTTTGGTGATAGTGTTGGAGAGGTAGGAGGTATACAGAAACTTGGCAAAATCATTTCAGAAATGACATTCTAGAAAATGCAAGTAATGAGAGGGTTAATGAAATGGTGTAGTGAGCAATAGAATAGTCAAAATATAAACCCAAATACATCTATGAGCAATGGCATATAATATAGATATCATTTTAAATCAGTGGGGAAAAAAACTAATTACCAAATTACTTTTCAGTAATCCAG